GCCAACCTAGCAGTTTGAAAGCATGAAAATGTGAGTAGATAAATAGGTATCACTATGGTGGGAAATGTAACAGCACTCTGTAATGTCATGCTGGCCACACAACTGCAGAAACATCTTCAAACAGCTCTGGCTCAATGGCTTTAAAATTGAGGTGAGCACCACTCCCATAGTCTGCAACAACTAGCGAAGTAAAATTCATAGGAATCTATCTATCTCTTGATCTACCTACCTATCTGAATGTGGATATCGCTGCATAGATCCATATCCATACTTATATTGATATATACTTTATTTAAATTAAATTTGTATTTGCATGTTCTCTGTAGACGCCATATGGTAAATAAATAATTTTCAGCAAAGACTGGCAAATACGTTTGATTTCTCAAATCCCTCAGAGATGCTTGCAGAACTTTAAGAAACATTGGATTAGTCCCTAGTACTAAAGTTATAGTCTGAAACTTTGGAAGAAGAAAAAAATGGCATTAAAATATAGACACACAGCATCCTTTAAAGCCCCAGTGGGCTATAAACAAGAGTTCTTTTCTAATATTAATATTAATTCTCTTCCTAAATCAAAGGGTGGGGAGAACCTCTTCCTTTGTGCCACATGTAAGAAACATAGTAACTATTTTCTTCTCCAGGAATATGAACCATGACAAATAGAGATGCTAGGTTTAAATAGCATCTGCATCATTCTTGGCTTGATATAGAAGTATAGACATCTGCCTTTTACTAAGTCAAGTCATTGGCCTGTACATTCTAGGATAGTTGACTCATTACTTCAGGCTTTTAGATTGGAGATTCTCCTATTCAGAGATGCTTAAAGTTGGACTTTGAACCTTCTGCTGCAACCAGATAATCTATGTCAGCTATGATTTTCCCTATTATTTGCAAATGAGAACATTCTGCAACAAGCTTCTCCCTCAGATTTCCTTCCTAATTAGAGTGGAGCGATGCGTTTCAAGACAGCTTAATGACAGCCCTTCTTGTCATCCATTTCATCTGAGGAAAGCTGTAATGTTATGCAGAGCATTCCACTACACAAATGCATTTATATTTATTTTATTTTTGAAATTTGCACGATGCCCTACAAAACCAAGTTTTCATATTGCAAAAAAAAAAGTTTAAAACTAAAAGCAATCATTAAAAAAGAAAGAATGTAGTTAAGCTTTTTTTTTTTTCCATTTTTCCCTTTTATACAGACACTAAACTGTGTGAACCCTGAAAATGAAAACGCTCCTGAAATTCCAGTCAAGGTCCTAAATTGTGATACCATCACACAAGTGAAGGAAAAGCTGTTGGATGCTGTGTACAAAGGAGTACCATATTCCCAAAGACCCAAAGCAGGAGACATGGACTTGGGTGAGAAATAGTTTCTTGTGTGGTTAGGATAAACAGTGGATTAGTATTATAATCATGACATAAGGGCTATAAAACTCCAAAATAAACGATGCTTCAAAATAATTCTTTTTACTTCATTAAAGGAGCTGCATGCTTTTCCAGGCTCATGTGGCTGCTTCAGAAGCTACTCTTTATCTTTGCCACTTGTATGTATAAATGTAGCCATTTTACTTTCTTTTTCCCACAGTTCATTTCACACATGACCTTCTATACTTATTGATAGATACCTCCCTGTATGTTCTAAGGCCACATTTTAAAACTATCCAACTTGATGCTAATTTCAAACTAATGACTCAGGGGAATAGGCACAGGCTGAAAAGAGACATGGTTGGTTATTTAGTTATTTAGTTATTGGCAGCTCAATTGATAGGATTTTGATAAATGGATCTGCTTTATATGAGGAAGAATAGGCAAGTATGCAAGAGCTACAAATTGGTATGGTTCTCTAGAAGATCATTTGTTTATTTATTTTTCCATCCACCCAATTTCCAGGCTGCCCAAAAATTACTCTGTGTATTTTACAGAGTTAAAAATTGAAAAAGCATTTTTTATATAAAAATTGGTCATAAATAAACCCTATCTGGAGGGCCCCTATGCCAAGCTCTGAAGAACGAGTCATGTTTTGGGCACTTGAAGGCAAGTAGAATTGGGTGTGGGGGTCAAGCAGATTGTTCAAAGGATGCTGTTCCAGAAGGCACATGCTGTAGCAGAGAAGATTTACTTCCCAAACTACTAAATTGTCTCCAAGAAGAACCTTCTGGAAAAGGTTCATTATTCAGAAGAAAATGGAATGTTCTGGAATTCTCTGGAAAGGTCTCTTCCCATTTGGCAGATCCCTAGTATTTTCTTAGCAAACTATAAATAGAATTAGATTCTCTAAGAATTAAGGATCAAAATATGCATAATAGTGACAATATCATAAAACATGTTAATGATAATTCACCTATAAGAAATAGATTTTTGTGTGTGATTCAATCATCAGAATACAAACGAAGATGAGGATGGTGATGATGATATCCCTTCAGTCAAGTCCTTAGCAGAAATAATTGGAATAGAACAATAGTAATTTAAAATGGCTAATATATGGAAACCCAATATATAGCAGAATTTGCAGGAAGATTAACCAAACTTGGTAAACCTGTTTGGTGCCTTGACTGTAATGATAAATTTTGCTTTAATCCACAAGTGAAGAAACAATTTGTCATTTAAAACTGAGTCCAGTAGCAAGAAAGAGTCACAGTTTGGTTAGATATTCTCCTTTTTGAAATTTATCACCCCAAAATGAGCTATAATCATCTTTGGGGAGAAACTAAAGACATAAAAATGGGCAAGAGGTATTCAGTATTCCACATGTGAACTACTTTATGCTCCAAAAATGAAGTCCTCATACTTGAAACCTTGATGGGTCAAAACTAGATAAAAGGAATGTGTAGCTTGAGACAGATGCTATTTGCTATGCAAGGAAGGTCATTTTTCATTCTCAAAGAAAAATGTTATTATGATGTATTGCTGATTCTAGGTTAGCATTTTAAACAACTTCATGATCACAGGAAGTAATAAGATGTATTTACCTGAGAGATGATGAGAACACTAATCTCATATGAATAAAGTAGTGAACTACATATTTTCGGAGAGGGAGGGGAACTGACATAATCCCAGTAGTTGAGATGATCACTGAATATTAAGACTCACTGGATTTAAAAGCAGAAGGTTGTTGATTAAGCTGGAGATATTCTTGAAAATTCCTCCAAATGGGTTATGAAGTTGAATAATTTGAGGTTTTGTGGGCAGGGGGTTGCTTTTGAGTTAGTCTTTCACTTCTGTCAACCACGGTTTTCTTGGCAATCGCTTCAGAATTAATTTGCCATTATTTTTGTTCTTAAGAGTGGGAAACCCAAATCAACGAGAAAATAGCCCTATTACATTAGATTCCCAAACAGATTTTCCTAGCATAATTATTGCTAACTACAGCAAGACCATAATGGGGTTTAGAGTGGGGTGTGGCTTTTTAAAATGGCTTCTGCCATGCCTCTTTCACATGCTCTCCATGCCTTTCATTCTGTGATCTGTCCAAAGTGAGCACGATCCCCAGTGACCCCATGCCCTTCTCTTCCATCGGTGCAGAGTGGCGGCAGGGCAGGATGGCTCGGATAATTCTTCAAGATGAAGATGTCACCACAAAGATCGACAATGACTGGAAAAGGCTCAACACTCTAGCTCATTACCAGGTGTGGTTGTCCTTGGGTTTTGCCATTGTGGTTGCAGAAGAGACCTGGAATCTGAATGTGCTATGTATTTGAATAAAATACATATATTTATCTCATATATGAGAGATGGATACTACAAACAGCTGTTGTTATTTATTTTACTATTGAATTAGTATTGGAGGGAGAGAAGAGGATGGAAGTCTAGGCTAGATTCATGTGATGCGTATTAAATAATGGAAAACATGTCTGGATTGTATTGTTAGGTTTTTGGTGTCCTCTGAGTTTGCTTTTCTTCTTGTAGACATTTCATTATCAAGCTAGGCAACATCAGTACACAGATGATGTTACCTAGCCTAGTAATGTTTGTAAGAAGAAAAGCAAGCGAGAATACTAAATTATACATCTTGGAAACACATTTGTAGAGAATGAAAAGAAAGCTTCTAGCTCTTAAGTTTAACAAAAGAAGCATTAAAATTATGTGCAAGATTGTTCTCTTTCTCTGTATTCTTCCTGACAAGGCCTGGAAGAATCCATATGCTGTCCTGTGTGCTTTGGCTTTGATCTGTCCACTACAAACAATTGAATAAATATGCTCTAACAAAGCAAGAATGAAGGAAGAACAAATTCTAGACAAAGCTGAAAAGCTTTCTATTTTTGTGCCAGGCAGATTTTGCAGGAGATAAAACTCAGGTCAGATCTGGGAAACCCAAGGAATAGAAAATGCTCTTTATTAAGAAGAAAAAGAAAGCTTTCTTATGTTTGCGTGTGCATTATGAGAGAATGAACTGTCTGTCTTCTCAAATTTTCTAAGAGGCTCTGAGAATCCACTGAATAGGGAGTTAAACTTGTTATTTCAGCTTCCTTTAGTAGGGAACTCAGTGTTGGTTGGAGTGAGAGAGGTAGAGGCTATGGATCTTCAGTCTTAATTTTGGTAATATTCTCTACAGGTAACAGATGGTTCATCTGTGGCACTGGTGCCCAAACAGAACTCTGCCTACAACATTTCCAATTCCTCTACTTTCACAAAATCACTCAGCAGATATGGTGAGTAAATGAGAAAACATCCTTGCCAGTTTACTGTCTAGAATTCAGTAGCAATCTGGGAATTAAGAAAGAAAGTCTTCCTAAATTAAGAAAAAGCAGACTAAAAAGGATACCATGCTTCAGTCAAGCCTCTTCTATTGACTTACTTGGTTTTGCATGACAAAATTGACCTAGGCCCATTTTATAATAATTCAGCCAGCTTCTCCCAGTTAAAGCTTTTGCCATTGGTTGCTTTACCCAGTTTAGTTATGCTTCCAAAATCTATGTTTCTTTACCGTGTTTTCTTAAAGCCACTGTGCTTTCATGTGTCTTATTGCTACAAGATTAAGATAAGCAAGGATCTATTATAAATATTACTTTACTGAGGAAAAAAAAATGTTGCAGGATCCAATCTGGGTCGGTCACTGGGACCAAAAGTTTAGTCTGCACAACTTTTGACCTTGGGCTGGAGCCCATCCTCCAGGAAGATTCAAATAGAGAGTAGTTTCCTGAGGATGGGCTCCAGCACAAGTCTGAAACCATTCTAAACCTCTGGTCCTGATGACCGACTCTGATTGGATTTTATAACATTATCCTGAGACATGCATATTTGCCTTCATATGTGAAAAAGGTCACTTATTTAGAATTGAAGGCCTTAAATATAATGATATAATGCAGCCTAGAGCACTCGTGGAGGTCCGATAGGTCCGAGTCGAAACGGGCACTTTTGACAGCATGCACCAAGGAGTATATTCGGACCTTA